AAACAAGTACCAGTCAAACCCGGGGACTATGACAGCTTACCAGGCACAAAGGCTTCCCTGGGGCCCACACGTCCCCACATGATCTGGCCCCATCTCCTGCCCACTGCCCCTCTTTGGGCACTGGCCTTCCTGCCGGTCCTCGGCCTGTCCTAGATTCCACCCGCCGCAGGCCGCGGCACTTGCTGTGTTATGCACCGCCCACTCCTTCCCCTCGCCCAGGTTTCGCTCAAGCCCCCCCATCTTTTTCTTCACAGCACATGCACGGTCTGACCCTACACCACACACCTGCTCATTTATTGCTTTCGCATCTGTTTCCCTGACTGGGAGGATGAGAGCTCCAGAGGGCAGGAAGGGATTCAGAGCCTAATCCCGAATACTGCCAGGCTTCATGAGTGAAGAATGGGAACCTGATTCTTCACACAAATTCCTGGGTCCACCAGCACCCCACCCACCACTGACACGCCCTCATTTGAGTGTCCAGAGCAGGAGCAGCAGGCCCTTTATCTCTGGCTATTTTATGTCTCTAAGAATTGTCTCTTCCGCTCCTACATGAGCTACTTTCAGAGTGGAACGTGGTGAGGGTCCAGTGGGGGGGTGAGAGGGAGGGAGCTGGACTTACTAGAGGAGCTGAATGAGGCGGGCCGGGAGTGGAATGGGGGGTCAGGGGGGCGGTGAGGAAGCCGGAGCTGACAAGCCTGGCCTTGCCCACTTCCCACGTGGCTCCTTTGTTTACTTAGCACAGTGGCCCAGTGCTCGCCCTGTGCCCCACTCAAGGAAAGGGACACCTTGTCCACAGGGTCGAGCCCAGGGGTACACGCAGAAGTTAACAGGGGGCTGTTTTAAGTCTGAAAAGGTACTTGGAAGGGCAGAGTGAGGCAAGCGTCCCGAGGTGGCCTGGGAGGCCCCCGAGGCATGCTGATCTTGCAGGGGTGGTTATCCTCAACCAAGAGTGGGAAGCAGGGGCTGGAAGACAGGCCCAACCTAGCCCAGGGCTCTGCCCACTGCACCACACTACTTGCAGGTGACAGCTGGCGCTGGGTCAAAGGTCAGGGAAGCCAAGCTCCTGGATGGGGTTTTCCAAGGAGAAACCACGACCTATGTCCAGAAGGCGTTCTCCAGGCCCACCCACCTCTGACCTCTGGGGTTTCTCTGGGGTTTTCTCAGGGCTACTCACCCCGCCCCCGCCTGGGGCGCTGCGCTGCAGGGAGACCGGGGCTGCGGGCTCCTTATAACCACCGTAGGACTGGGCCGCCGGCTGCTGCTGGGGCTGCTGATAAACTGCAAGACAGACGGGGCTGGCTGACACTGGGTCGCCACATCCAGCCCCTCCAGAGCCCCGGTGTTTCCCCCACGGAGCCCACAAGCTAGCTCAACCCCACTTCACAAAGTCACGCATCTCTGGGTGCATGCTGGGGGGTGCTGTTTTCTGCAGCAGTAGTGTCTCTCCCCCATCATGCTGAAGGCCCAGCACAGGCCCACCCCCCACTCCTGCCCCCCACTCCCAGCTCATGCCCTGAGCACTCAGGGTGGGACCTGAGGCTTTGTGTGTGCGTGTGTGTACAAGCACGTGTGAGCAGACATGGCGTCTCTCTACCATCTTCCCCACCTGCAGCTGGCCTGGCCTCAGGACTTCTGCCCACAAGGCTTCAAGCTCACCTGGGGCACCGGTCGGGATGTGGTGTGGTTGCGGCTGATCCTGGGATCGCCGGTAGCTGCCGCTGTCCGGAGAATCTCGGCGGTCAGGCTCCAGGCCCTCCCCACCACTGGGGCCCATGCGGCTCTTCTCAAACTCCTCATGGTATTTTATCTGCAGAGGCAGAAGTCCCTTAATGAAGAACCCACAGCAAACCCACAGAGCCACTTACAACCCTGGGAGGGAAGAGGCCCAGGTAAAGAGCGCCAGGTTCTGCGAGGGGGGGGGGGGAGCAACTGTCAGCTCTTAGACAAGCTACTTAACCTTGCTGCGCCACAATGAACACCTCTGTAAAGCGGGGTCTACCTCAGGCGTTGCTGGAGGATACGAGATGAGAGCTGTGAAAGGGCCTGTAAGCCAAAGCATCAGGCAAGTGTGAGCTGTGATTTTTGTCCACAGCAGGAACTGGGGCCACCCAGCTTCCTGTCAATGGTCTCCTCACTACTACACCTACCAGGCGCCAGACACGGTGCTAGGCGCTCCTTATCCCAGGCCGGCTGGCCTCGTCAGCACCGTGAGACGATACAGCCCCCGTTTAGCAGACACAAAGGAAGTGAAAGCGCTGTCGAGCAAAGTGATTGATTCCAGAATCGATTCTGCCTCCGCAGACAGCACCTGCAGGGCCAGAGCCCAGGGACGTCTGGCAAGGACCCGACATCCCTGGACGGGAAATGCTTGGTGCTCCCTAAAGGTGCTCCTTCTCTTGGAAGTGACTCCTCCTCTTCTCAGATTCCAAAAACGGGCAAAATGAGGTCGGGGGCAACCAGACGCCCAGGCGCTCGGCAAGCGCTGGTAGAGTCAAACAGATCAGGACCCTGCAGACCTTCCCGAGCCTCCGTTCTTAAAATCTGCTTCCCCCCACCTGAGCTGCTCGTTAGAATTCCAAGGTGTTCCCACAGACCCTGCGGAAGCTCGCCAGGGGGTCTCAAGCAGGCTCCCACGTGAGGAGCAGAGTCTAGAGCAGGGGCCGGCCACCGTGGCGCACAGGCCCTCACCCCGCTCACGGCCCTGCGCAGTGGCTCCCAAACGTTCTAACGTGTGCAGGGAATAGCATTTCATGACATGTGAAAATTCTCTGAAATCCAAATTTCAGTGTCCAGAAATAAAGGTTTATTGGCACATGGCCACACCCTTCATTTACCTGTCATCCGTGGCTACTCTCAGCTGTCACTCGAGCCTAGCAGCTGGGACAGAAGCCACACAGCCCACAAAGCCTAAAATAGTTTGATCACAGGAAAGTTTGCTAACCTCAGCTGTGCATACTCCTGTTGATAAAATACACATTAGCAGAGCCTCCTACATGACATCTACTTTATAAATGACAGAGTCCTACTGGACAGATGTGGGACACATAATGGAAAACGGACATAAAATATACAAATTTTTAAAAGTATAAGCTGAAAAGGAGCCCAGCTGAGAAGCCTGGCCTTTCCCCGGCACACTCAGGGGCACTCAGACCAAACCCCACCAGCAGACCCCCGGTGGGGAGGGCAGCAGCCCAGGAAGGTGCTAAGGCCTGCGGTTTGAGTGTTCAGGAAAGCTGCGCTGACCTGGGGGTAGGGGAAGAGGAAGTGGGACAGAGTGTGACAGAATAGCTCCCCTCACCCCCCAGAGGAAACTCCGAAAGCAGGACACTGAGAAATTGGTCCTGTCGCAGGCAGGCCCAGGTCCCGAATTCTCTGCAGGCCTCAGGCCACCTGACTGGAAACTGGTTCTCACTTCCTGGTCTGCCAGGATCCTGCCCTGTGATTATCCAGTGGAAAATAGAGTGGGGGGTGGGTTGGTAGGTCAGGGAGAGCAGGAGGACAGAGCCTGCCCTCTCTCCCTGGACTCTGGCCCGGGGCAGTCCCCTTTGGCCATCCACTCCCACTTTCTCTGCTATCTTCTCCCTGTCCTTTCTCATCCCCCTGGGATTCCCTTTGCCAGGAGAGCAGGAGTTAACGCTTGGTGGGACAGGATCTGAGTGTGGCCAGCTAGCTGGGAGCACCTGTGTGTTGCTGCGGGCTGGTCAGATCAGTCCCCACAGCCTGGGCTGGGAGGACTGGCCCGGGAAAAGCCAGAGGCACAGAATCTCACCTAGGGGTTCAGATCGGGACCAGCTCCCTCCTCTCTCTGCCCCTTCCCTCATGCCCAAGCAGAGCCCCTACATCCAAGTGGTGGAACAAGATGATGAGAATATTCCTGGGGGGGG